TGTATCCACCTTCCTTCCATGTGTGGGATGATTCCCAAGCTTTCAGACAGTAATGATGGCAACATCTGAGGTCAAAGCAACATAGATGGCCAAGCTCGCACGGTGTTGTTTGATGGCCAAGATCCACCTGGCTTATGGAATGGGAGCCGTCTCAACTAACACAATGAGTCCAGGATACAAACACCGACTCACATATTAAGTATAACGTGACAACTTCCTCCAAGCCAGTGGAAAAAACTGAAGCTATAACATGCGCAGCAGTGTTTCATAATGCTTCTCCCATTCACTGGCGGAAAAGACTGTGAATTCTTGCTGGTAAGATGATCATACAATAATTAAAATTGAGTTTTGTTCCACAAAAAAAGAATGAAAAACGACATTTTTTGTTTTGTTTCTGTATCATCCAGAACCTGCAGTTACAGCTCCATTGGTTGAGATCAGGAGATCTCTCCCAGATTTGCTGAAGAGAAACAGTGCTGTGCTGAAGTGTGACATCACGCAACTCTCCTCCAGTGACCTCTATGTCACCTTTCAGGCCAATGGGGTTGACATTTCTGAAAGGCAGTTTTGTTGAACCTTCCTGAAACCCCAGGCCTCCATTCAATCAGTAGACCGCTTCACTGTCCCCCAAAAGTACTGGAAGAATGACACAAGTTTCACCTGTAAAGTGAATCAAGGCTTCTCCAGTACCTTTGAGTCAAACTCCACAGGCAATATTTTTGGTGAGAGGAGTTACTTTGCTTACCCTTAATGACATGTTGAGTTAATGTTTTACACTTAATGAATCATTTAAATTATTAAATTGAATAATTGATGACTCTGATTCATCTCTCATTTAGTGAACACACAACAATTGGAACTTAAGGGAAAGCAAAGTAACTCCTCTCACCAAAAATATTGCCTGTGGAGTTTGACTCAAAGGTACTGGAGAAGCCTTGATTCACTTTACAGGTGAAACTTGTGTCATTCTTCCAGTACTTTTGGGGGACAGTGAAGTACTGATTGAATGGAGGCCTGGGGTTTCAGGAAGATCAACAAAACTGCCTTCAGAAATGTCAACCCCATTGGCCTGAAAGGTGAACATAGAGGTCACTGGAGGAGAGTTGCGTGATGTCACACTTCAGCACAGCACTGTTTCTCTTCAGCAAATCTGGGAGAGATCTCCTGATCTCAACCAATGGAGCTGTAACTGCAGGTTCTGGATGATACAGAAACAAAACAAAGTAAATGTCGTTTTCATTCTTTATTGTAACAAAACACTCAATTTTAATGTTGTATAATTGTCTTACCTGCAACATTCACAGTCTTTTCAGTGGGTGGAAACACTTATGAACAGCTCTGCCATGTTATATGCTTCAGTTTTTTCCACTGGCTTAAGGAAATTGTCACTTTACTTAATATGTGAGTCGTGTTTGTATCCTGGCTCATTGTGTTACTCGTTGAGACCGTCCCATCCATAAGCCAGGTGATCTTGGCATCAAAAACAGTGCGGACCAAACATG